ACTCATCGACCTACATGAAACTGTTCTCGATGTTGGTTTCATCAAATGCTTGGCGTATTTTAAATTACATGTCAAAGTTGTTAGCGTTGAAGAAAAATATCAAAACAGCTGAATTGGCTATTTTTTCTTTTTCTTTTTTCTTTTTCTTTTTCTAAATGTGCATTCCGTTTGAATGGTTTTACACTAGTAATTTTTGGGGCCATTTATAGCTTGCTGTTTGGTGTGAGCCAAGGCTCCGTGTTGAAGACCGTACTTTGACCTATAATGGTTTACTTTTATAAATTTTGACTTGGATGGAGAGTTGTATCATTAGCACTCATACCACATCTTCTTATATCTATTTAAGAACAGGACTGGTAATGTTTTCATTAATATGTGAAAAAAAGTCAACAGGCCTCTATCACTATCACAATCTCTAGTTTTCTATAAGTTTATTTGACACAGAAATAAAGAGAAGAAGTGCAAATACAACCATAGCATTAAAGTTTCGGAATTAATTTGATGTTTTGACCGAGAACCTGACAAGTTATGTTAAAAAAATAAGTGTTCATTTAAACCATGTACCTATTTTTTTTAGATAATCTCACTATATATAAAAATAAGAAGATGTGGGTTAATTGGCAACGAGACAACTCTCCACTAGAGACCAAATGACACAGAAATTATCAACTACAGGTCACAGTTGGTGTCTGATCTCTGTTGCCAAACGTTTGAAATCTGATACCTGAAAACGAGAGAGTTTGTCTTCTAAAGTGTTCTTTAAGCATTGGAGTGTGCTTTGCTTAAAAAGATATGTTATATTTAAGAGCCTGTACAACTTATCTACGAACTAAAGCCAATAATTGAACATTTTTGCTGTCTTTTTGTTGATACAATGGACAACAGCTATATTATCACAATGAAATTGGACATGTTTGTTTCTCAAAATCTGAGACCATAATTCAACAGCAAGTACAACGGAAAAAAAATTCCTGATAGAAATATGTAATTTCAGCCAAGAATCCGTCTAACCATGACAGAACCAGTGTGTTCCCAAGAAACCCCCAAAACCTTAATTACTAGCGTCGGTATACAATGTGTAAAGACGGAGAGGTATCAAACTAGTGCTGTACAACCAAACCTTTACCATTAGAATGATCAATGAATAAGGCCCAAGCTTTAAAATCTGATTTTGCTTCTTTATTTAAACGTATCTTTAAATTATAGCCTTCTGACTTGGGACAGGCACATACAGAATGTGGCGGGGTTAAATATGTTAGCGGGCGCCCAACCCTCCCCTAACCTGGGACAGTGGTGTACATATACAACATAAGAACAAACTATAAAAACCAGTTGAAAAATGCTCAACTCATCAGATGGATACAATCAGAAATACATATAACAAAAACGTAGAGTGAACGTGGCAGGGTACTTATACATCCGCACAACAAAAGACACCAAGTACAGATCTGAGAACACTCGCAATTACTGGCAGCTAGTTCAAAGTCAATCACAACTAATAAAAATAATCATGCATCTAAGACTAAAACATCAATCAGTACACATCCAACATCTAATGGATTTAGTGTAAAGACGTCATGAACAGTCAGAGAAAAACATGACCTTGTGCAATGCCAATTAAGATACAGGTATCGATAAGTTTAGCCGTATCGTATTTAAATTTTCGAGCTCGGTAAACAACATCTCCGTAAAAATTAGGATGTGCTGTCCCGTTTGAAATAAGTTTTCCACAGGTACAGTCAAACTTCAAATCCAAATCTTTATTATAGTCTATTATTACTATCCTCATGAAAAACATGTGATTATTGACTGCCAATGTCCGGATTTAACACTTTTAAAAGGATCTTGCTGGTCACGAGTGCCTATAATACTCCTAATATGCATTTTATGCAGTAACTGCGAGTACTTTAAGATTGGTATTTTGTGTCTTTAGTTTTTTTGTTAGTCGTTTTGGTTTTTGTGCTTTTGTTGATCTGATAAGTAAGTAATTTTTCAACTGATTTTAATACTAGGTGCCTATGTTGTGCGGTTAAACCAATTTTCTGGGTAAGTAAAAAGTAAAAAAAAAAACTCAAAATACCGAACTGCAAGGGAAATTCAAAACGAAAAGTCCTTTATAAAGTGGCAAAATCAAATGCTCAAACACATCAAACGAATGGAAAACAACTGTCATATTCCTTTCCTTTTTTCTTATATATATTTTTTTAATATAAAACATCAACCTTCAAATAATTTGCTTGATTTAATTTTAACAAATTGTCAAATGTCCTTGAAGAAATTGTTGATGTAAAATCCATTTTCGTTTTCTGTAATTATATTTTATGCTTTAGCGACCTTCATGTCAATGTTCTATCATCTATCAATTACTTCGGAAATAATGTTTTATAGAAGAAACGATTAGATCTAGAAATAGAAAATGTAGGATTATTTCTTAGCAATGAGCTATTCGCTATTTCAAGATTATGATTAATTAGTATAAGAATAGCTCTTTTAAAAGAGAATTGAAAAAATCAAGTTAGAAAAAATAATGTTTTAAGATAAAAGAAAGAAATTTTGAAAAATGGAATTATACAATGTACTCATATAAGTGTTTGAATAGAAATGAAACACTAACGTTGTACAGTATATGTAGTATTGTGTTTTGTAAAGGTGCCAGCCGTTTGTTGTTAGCGCTATACGTACAATATATTACTTGATTGCTGGCTGGTGTTTAATGCCATTTTCTATACTATTTGCTATATCGTGACGGTCAGCTTTTTTTTTTGGAGGAGGTAGCTGGAGTGCCTTGAGAGAAATACTGACCTTCGCCAGGAAAAGTTGCAATCCTTGTCAATTAATATTGGAGTCGAACGCACATGACACATGCAGAGTTCGAACTCCTTTTTTTGTAAATACCACCAAACTATATAATTTACTTCACATCATAACGTACTATTTGATAAAAAGAGATGTAAAAGTAATGTCTTATTCTAAATATTTATAGTATTTTGTGAAAGTACACTGAATGTGTGCTTTATATTTAATGAAAATGTTTAATGAAATTTAACATCGATGAATGTCATAATGAACTAAGGACAAAAAGTCCCGTCATTTTATATTTTATCAATGATAAAACAATAAATGAATAGCTTTGTCATCATGAGCTAAGGACATCAATGGTAAAACAATGAATGAATAGCTTTGTCATCATGAACTAAGGATATCAATGGTAAAACAATGAATGAATAGCTTTGTCATCATGAACTAAGGATATCAATGGTAAAACAATGAACAAATAGTTTCGTTACTTCAAATGGAAAATACTCTTACGAATACGTTTTATTTTGATTCAGTGCAGATATCAATACAAACACTGGGCTCAATAATGAGCTTTTTGCATACACTGGAACACAAAGCATCCGAAAGTAGATAAATGACGTTAGCACAAACATGTAGATGACAAGGAAGTATACATCAATACAGTAGCACAAAACATTAAAACATTAATGACAAAAAAAGCCAAAAATATATAGAAACATTATAAGCGCCTTTTCATTGCTAAACCTCTGGATTATGAGAAACGGTATTTCATAAAAAGGAAGACAAATGTAAAATTGTTTAACTGAAAGAAAAAAACATATTAAACAATTAGCATTGAAATTGCATTGTTTCTTTTTAGTCTTCCGTTCAATAACAATAAGAACTGCAATTTCATAGTATGTTTCATAGTATGTTTTTTTTTTTTTTTTAAGAAAGGAGGGTGGGGGGTTGTTATTTGTTTTTTTTTGTTTTTTTGTTTTTTTTCTTTTGCGATTTTTTTACGCAAACACTCATTGTACTAATTTTTTATGGATACTACTTTTGTTATACCAAACTCAATTGCATATAAAAATAACACATTGCTGAGAGGGTGATAGAGCAGATTATTACCCCGGGAAAACATTGTCAACCGAGGCGAAGCCAAGGTTGACAACGTGTTTTCGGAGGGTCCCAATCTACTGTATCACCCTCTCAGCTATGTGCTATTTAGTTTGTCATACTGAATGTTCTTTTGTTGCTGCCTATTGAATTTGAAATTCAAAGTAATAATCTATGATGTCTTGAACATAACAATCCGTACCTAATAAAGCGCATAATTAATCAAGCGTCTCTTTGCATAAACTGGTGAAATCCGAAGACCAAGAGAGAGAGAGAGAGAGAGAGAGAGAGAGAGAGAGAGAGAGAGAGAGAGAGAATAATCGTAATATTTAATAATTCCTCAATGACAAATCCCTGATGAAATAACACCACTAATTCATAGCCCCTTGCTTTCTAAGTTAAATTCTGCAACTTCAAGCATTCATAGCTAATTTGTCTTAAATTCAAATAAAGCGGTAGTCATTTCATGTCAAAACTATGCCTTATCCTGACGTGCTATAAAACAAAATCAACATACCTTTAATTGCATATTAGAGCACACTGGTTCCCTGAATTTGAGTTGTACAAAAACAAGTACTTCAGATCTGAGCAAAATCTGGAAAATATGCCGGCCTATATTAATTTCAAACTTTTTTTTTATTATCCAAATGAAACTTTTAGGTTTCTACAGTGATCCCAAGTCCTTAAGCTTTCATTTGATACCAAAATTACTCAAGTATTTTACTTATTGACAAAGTTACAGCTATGCGTAGGAGCTAATTTGTTTGAAATATGTACTACTTTCTTGTATGTTCTGTATGACCAGGCCAAATCAAAGGTTCTATACCTGATATGCAACCGGACAGTATTCGTCTACGTCGAATCTCGGCTGAAACATATGATAACACAGGGCATTCCACATTATTTTCTTCCTCTTTTTATTTTAAAAGGAGTTCTTGATGATAAAACCTAATTTTTAAATTTAGTAATATATATATTAAGATATTCTCTAACACACACTAAGACATTCGTCTGACTTTAATGGCTGGATTATGGGTTTGAGCGTTCCTTTCAAAGGTATATCCATAAAAAAAACTTCGGAAAACAAAAAAACAACACCAAAATCATTATTTTGCAGCGAATTTTATTCTCTGAAATATAATTGTCCTGCATTCATTGGTATTATGGCATAGCCATACAAGCGGTATAGCGAATGCTATTCTTCTCAACATCGATATTACATTTGCAGTTATATATCTTGTCTCTTATCTTATATGGTAAGATTTCCTGGTCAGCATGACATTCTCCATTCACGTCTGTACATCCTGTAATAAAAACACATTTTGAGTTTGCTACCATTTAACTTATGAAATGTTTATCTATATTTACATGTATGTTTTCTGTAGTGTCGATATTATTGATTTAAGTGCTTACTCCATTAATCGAGCTAAATGAGAAGAGAATTAAACAACGTGTTGATGTAGTTCAAGATTAGTTATTGTCCTTGTTATTTGTGTTATCTGCATTCAATAGACCACTTTCGAGTTAAGTCCTTCACCGGAAAAGTTCGTCAATTGTGTGTGCCTTTGTGTCGTCATTTACCAGATAGAGGGGATCGCCTGTATCCCTGCTCTATTAAAGTTCATCAAGCGTCTTTGTGATCGCCATTATGCATGATAAACTAGATATAATATTTGTTCCGAAAGTACTTAATTACAATTCCCTAACGATATCAATGCTGAATATCAATTATAAGAATTTAATTTGCCGAATAATTCGTGCAATATAGCATTATCATTTTTCAACCAATCGCTTAACATAGGAACGGAAGTGACGATGCCCCTAAACGCACGAATGATGTTCACTTAAACCAAAGTTTTTGACGGAAATGCAACGAACTCGAAAGTTGTCTAATGAAAACAAAATTGATGGCGTCTGTGTTGAGTACATTCTCGACTTACAAATATATTGACAATGACAATAAAAGGTTTCTTTATACTTTAGGTATTTTGTGACATTAATGGTTGCAGTATGATCTATTATATTATGACTATTCCTAGGACATTGATGTAGTTATGTTGCTTTCACAATAATATTTTCTCGTATTCTTGATTGAGGTTGAACATTGTATTTTGATTGAGCTCTATGTACACATCAAACAGTTTTATTATTGGCTATAATGTAAATACCTACATTGCGCAATACAATACAATTATCCAATACTACTTTTAAAAAGGTGGTTATTTACAAATTTAAATTAATATATATCACATAGAACTTCCATACGATTCCGTAGGTTTAATATACCGAGGCATTCAAAAAGTGAAAGTAGGTGTTCAATGTATGCAAATGCTGATCTGTTATTGCCTGCAAGACGAATAAATTGATTCCGACATATGCTTTCATTTCGTATGAAAGCAACATATGCCATATGAAAGCAGCCCATACTGTGAAAGTTACCCAAGAGTTATTAAGTTAGCTCCGTCTACCTTATTAATAATACATTTTTTTTCGTATTTTTCGCAATTGCTGTTGTACTTCGTGCAAATGATTATGCTTTAAAAAAAGTCACAAATTTAAAAAAAAAAGTAGTTGACAATATATCTTGTTAGAAGCATCATAATCGATATTTGGTATAAACATATAACAATAATTAATATCCTTTTATATACATGTACCATACTGATTCAAATTTACATTGAAATTGACTTCTTCATATGTCAAAAAAAAGTAAAATAAATACCGAACTCCAAGGTAAATTCAAAACGGAAACTCCCTTATCAAATATCAAAATCAAACGCTCAAACTCATCAAACGAATGGAAAACAACTATCATATTCCTGACTTGGTACAGGCATTTCCTTATGTAGAAAATGGTGGATTAAACCTAGTTTCATAGCTAGCTTAACCTCTCACTTGTATGACAGTCGCATAAAATTCAATTATATTGACAACAATGTGTGAACAAAACAAACAGACATAATAGGTGAACATGTCATAAATAGGGATACAGCAGTCAACATTGTGTTATAACCTCAATCACTATAAAAACAAACAAATATATTAAAAAAGAAAAACAAAATGGCATAAAGACAAAGCACATAAGCAAAAATGAAAGGCAAGAATACAAAAATTGACCATAGCACAATAACACAATGACGGAATGTATAAGTACCGAGCCACGCCAAAGAGATGTTACTAAAAATGGACTAATCAGTAAAGGTAATAATTTATAAAGACAAATAAAAGAACACCAGAACACGTAATTAAGATGATAAACAACGTCAGTACCTAGAATCTATACTTCAAGACCATCATGTATTATTTGTGAAGTTATTGCGAACCCAATGATACTGTTCCACAGATTCACCTGCAAGTTACCTGTCGATTTAAACTTTTGTAAGTTCTTTTGTCCCATCTAATAAATACAAAAGCTATTGTTCTCTGTGTAGTTTATTTGATGGGACCTTTAAATTTCTTCCAAGAGAAATCTATCACTCACTGATTAATTTACCTGAACAAAAAATTGAACTGTCAATATCTATCTATATCTGATCATGACAAGTAATTCTCAGGTGATGAGTTGTATAAATATGAAATTACCATACACTTCCGTTTTTAGTCTTAAAATCTTCTTTCCGTCGTAATCGTCAGCGATACATGTATGTTTCTGGCAGTTATTGAATGTTCTTCGGTATACATTTTCGTTAATGCACATATACTGTCTAGGTTCACCTCGTCGTGGATTTACACATCCTAAACAAAAAAAAATTACATGATAGTAAAAGCTGAAATCGACCGGTCCATGCAATTCTTGCAAAGACTTAATGTAGCGCAGGAAAGTAAAGTAGTTAATTAGTCCGAAAAAATCTGGTCATAAGAAACAACTTAAACATCTAGCAAAACTTATCTACACATGCTAAATAAAAACGCGAAGCAGAGCATGAATATACAATATCGGCGGGACGCATACGAGGAGGGGGGGGGGGGGGTGTAATATCGATTAAAACGACGAATTATCAACGATGTTTAAATCTTTTGTAGTTAAGTTGTGTATTAAAGTCTACAATAGGCATTGCACATGGTCGATTTTTTTACACGAGTCAAAAACTCTGGTGTATGAAATCCAGTTTTAAGTCGAGCATCTGATTGTACAGTTATCATATGTGCTACGATCTGTATCATAAAGATCGTGATGTTTGCCGTACGCCTTTGATTTTAACACTTTGGCACTTTTCTGTGTGTTGGTATAGTTTTCTTTATAATCCTATTTTAACCTTGGGCCGATCAAGCGGTTGGTGTCCCCGTCATATGTAATAATACCTACAGTATAATGTCGTAACACATTGTTCGATCTTACCATAATGTTTCCCTTCGACCTTTGTTCCAGTTACAGTACCATCAGCATCTGTCATACTAAGACAGTTATATTGGACACATGTTTCACGGTTTCTTCTGTATTTCCCAACACCGATACAGTAATAGTCTTTTGCCTCTGGTTCATAGATAAAGCGAGGATTTGGACATTCTGCGGAAAAAATATAAATAATAACTAAAGTAAAAATATAGTCAAATAATAGAACGAACGTCTACTTGACCGGCATTTATATAGTCAAGAACTTAGATTGGATATTTACTATCCACATTGCAAAAAAATCATTTATTTTTACCTTCAGTGCGCACAACGCGTGCGTTTGGAAAACCTTTAATCGGGTATACACCTCCAGACCAAAGGCTTCCGTAAACAAATCATGCAAGAGTGTCATAAGTTTTCCTTCTATAAATTCACTTACTTCTTAAATACACCAAAAGTGATGGTTTATTTGTTTCCATTATTTTCACTATTAAAGATCGTAGCATGTGTCAGATCTAGGGATTTTTGGAGGGAAAAATAAAATAATATGTTGCCATGGACCGTAGCAACCATATGGTTATTATTATATATTTTTTATTTATCAAAGTGTGATAACTGACAAGTTTTAAAGTTTTCCTGAGACTAGGCGTGCCATACCCTATATCTGACACTGTTTGATATTTACAGAGAATTCATGTTAAAAATTGTAAATATGTATTTGAATTCGTTTAAATAGGGAACTTAAACATCATTGCTTTTAACAGCCTAATTTTATTTCTCAAATATATTGAAATGGAGATGTGTTAAGATTGTCAATGAGACAACTATATCCACCAGAGATTAAACTTTACCAGAATGTAAACAACTACATGTCACCATGGTGACTGCGATCTTCAATAACAAGAAAGTCCTAAACCGTATGGTAAGCTAAAAAAAACCCTGCTTGTTTAATTTTGATAATTAGTTTTAGCGCGTGTTTTTATTTCGTCTGTCACTTTTAAATACGTCATGTAACTATACACACAAGGTTGTTTACATAATTGTCTGGACCATTGCGCTTGTTATTAAAGATAATTTAAATGGTGAATTCCGTAGACTATGATACATCTCCTCTTTTACATTGTGGAATCATTTATCAGCTATGGGGTTTGCTGTTAAAGAGAGGTGAAGGATACCAAAGGGATATTCAAACTCGAAAACAATCTGACAACGACATGGCAAGAAAAGAAAAACGATCAAAAGAAAAAAAAACAGTTTACAAAACACAACATAGAAAACTAAAGACTGAACAATACGAACCCCACAAAAATTATCCAAGTAACGCATTAACATTAACATGTATATTTAATACTCATTATTTGTTTTATCATTTTGCATACTCTAAACCAACTTATTTACGCGGATACTTTATTTTGCATTTGGCGCTTTCTAGACCACTTCGGGGCGATTAAATTTCACGATTTTCAAACTTATGTATAATTACTTGATGCAATGGAATAAGGAAAGATCCGAGATTTACATATTCGCGTTATTTTTCTAATGACGAAAGTCTTGAAAAATAAATTGCTCGCGAATATTAATTGTTTTACAGTATTTTGTCTTATTTCTTATGTATAATTATAAACAATTATGAAGTGTCTGTTTATATTTATATTCATATTTTTTTTAATATACGATTTGATTCAATTTTAAAATGGTGAGCATTCTTTCTTTTTATTCACGAAATATTGACATCAAAATCTGTAAAATACCAGTTGCGGTTAAGTTGATACGTCGTTTGAAATGATACCGTGGGTGAAAGAATGAACTCTTTCAGTTCGAAATCTGTATACGGGTATAATATCCTTAGATCGTACTGTTGTTTTACATCCAAAATTTGAAATTGAGACAATCAGTGTGTTTTCTCTCTTTAAGAGACCTGTTTGATCTCAAGTCAAAGTCTTGCAAGAATTTGGTAAAAATAGAAAGTGTGTTAGCAAGGTAAGTTAATATTTGCAAATGGTAGACTACTTTTTTCAGTTTTTAATGTTTAACAGTTTCGTTACTCTAGATGATCTGGTGTCGAATGATAGTTGATTGATAACTGAATTAAGCACCATCGTATCATATACAAACTTTTCTTAGAAATCAAAAAAAAAAAAAAAAACTGCTGTTTTAAAAAAGTATCACCCCTTGACTTCTTAAATCCCATGCTAAAGAGGGATGTTTGTTTTGCTAAACGGGATGCATAAATATGCAGTCATCTCTGATTGGAATCGGAACATTGAATCCAACGCTTCATGTAGGAAGAGTGCCACACTCTTTGCGCGTTAAAGAACCATTGCAAGAACTCTTTTAGAGATTAGAAGATGGTCTGTTCCCTATCCAGCATATTCTATTTTTTTCTAGTTGCAGTCGAAATTCATGCACGTCATCCTTGTTGACCTATTTTTAAGAACCTAAATGTACCTATTGGGTTTATTTTTCATTCATGCACGTGCTAAATTTACATGACATATTTGCTACTGGAAGTATTCTTCTCCGTATCATTTTCTGCAAGGTGCTTATCGACAAGAAAATACCATCTGTATTATAAATGAAAAATTAAATGATACCAGCATATTGAATTAACCTTACTGAATAACCTTTTCCGTTTCGTTTATTTACAGTGCAATTTATGTAACTACAAAAATATTATTTTCCCATTTTTCCGATATTAAGAAGAGTAAATAGACTATTTTCATAATACCGACTTTTGACTCCGGATTATATAATTTGTCGACTGGTTACCTTGGACATCATGGTACCAAGTCAAGTAAAACCAAGCGTTCAATCGGTACAATTTTGGGGGAAAATTACCTGCTTAACATTTTTTTTCACTACAAAATCATCGGAAAACAATAAACTTTCCCCTCAAATTACACCGATTATATGTTTGATTTTACTTATTTTGGTTGCTCTTACTTGACCGAGTACCATGATGTCCAAGGTAACCAGTCGACAAATTATATAATCCTGAGTCAAAAGTCGGTAATATGAAAATAGTTTATTGCAAACAAAAAAAAGTAAGGAAAATAATTTATCTGCACAATTATAATCTTCAAGATATCAGAAATAAAATAAAATGGAAAATTGTACATGAATTCTGACAATAGTCCCGTTTGCAACTCTTACAATAAATGTTATGTAAGATGATGCAAATGGTGAATTCCATAGACTACGATCCATCTCCATTTTTTAATTGTTTCTCTGGAATCATTTATCAGTTACAGGGTTTGCTGTTAAAGAGAGGCGAAGGATACAAGAGGGAAATTCAAACTCATAAATCATTTACGTAATTTAAAGAAAGTTTGTAAAACTGATTGTCACCTCTCATAATGATCACCATTGACGATTTGTAGTGTGTCACGTCGCCAACAACGTTTGAACTTGTTTCACATCTGAATGTTGTACATGTTTTTCTGTTTTTCTGTACAACTCCATCACTAACACATTGTCCGTCGTACTTACATTCTACAAATAGATTTGTTGTTTAAATTATTGTATTGTTAAACAATACTAAAACATTTTCAGAATGCAGATGGCGCTGTTTTCTTTCTGAAGGTCGAGTCAATCACTTCTGATAAATCTTCTAAATGACATTGTTAAATATATTCACAATATGTTAGTCTGTCAGATATAACAAGGTTTCTTTGGGTTTTGCTTTACGTATTAGTTTTATTATGAAGGCCTCCAACAATTTATGGATAGACTAAAAACCGATCCAAAATTGCGTCAGGTTTGAGATTTTACCTTGAATATTAACAATCACATTGTTTTAAGTTCTCCAGAACTAAAGCACTGACCTTTCGGCGAAAGTTTCCTCGGGAAATATCAATCTATCAACAGTCGTACCGACCAATCACTGTAGTAAAATAAACTTTTTTTTTTTTTGGTATATTGTTTTGCACATAAATCAGGCCGTTAGTTTCCTTGTTTGAATTGTTTTACATTTGCCTTTTATAGCTGACTATGCGGTATGGGTTTTATTCATTGTTGAAGGCCGTATGGTGACCTATAGGTGTTAACTTCTGTGTCACATGGTCTTTGATGGAGAGTTATCTCATTGGCAATCATTCCAAATCTTCTTATTTTTATATAAATGTTAGACCGGTTTCTGTTCGTACTAGACGTGTTTCTGAAATAACTTCCTGTAGGTAAGACGACTAGGTAAGACGAATACAAACAGACTTGAACTTTGACCTATAATTGTTAACTTTTTATACATTATGACTTGGATGGAGAGTTGTCTCATTGGCACTCATACCACATCTTCTTATTTATATTGAAAACACTCTAGGTTTCTCTTATCCTTTTCATAGATACAGATATCCGATAATATGATAATTTCAACATCTTTTTTTCACGTTTATAAATTGACTGATTTCGGCGACAACTATCGGGTCGGCCATGTCATCGAGTGGTTGGTGGATTAACCAATACAGTACATACTTATTTCTATAATTTTAACTGACAGTTGGTCGTCACAGCTGTATGTTGCACAGTCTACAGTCTTGACTGAAGAAACGTCCATACATTCGCTGATTTTTTCATCCTCAACTTCTAGTAAACATTTTCCTGCATCTATAAAACATAAGGTATAAAACTGAAAATATTTTCGATATGTAACTCATGGAAGTGCATGATTGTATAGGGGGATACTTCAAACTTTTTTTCTTTTGAAATAAATATCGGATCACCGATGATCATTAATTTTAATAAAAAAAAAAATTAATAAAATAAAATTAAAAGGCAATCGTGTTTGGTCTTGAAAAAAAATCTAATTTAAGATAGTTAACCTATTAACTTGTGTGAGATTCATGTTGTTCATGGATTACTTTAATTTGTATCCTATTTTGCTCTGTAAATTTTGTGTTCGTCATTTTTTCTTTATACATGTTATTCGCTTCTTCAGAAATCTAAAGGACTATGGGTAATTTCATTGTTCGTACACCAAAATGAAAATACCATTGCGTCATTGGTTGAATTTTCATTGTTTAAAATTTTTTAAACCAATCGCAACGTTTTGGTGTACGCTTTTTGAAATATTACCCAGAATCCACTAGATTCTGAAACGGCGAATTGCTCATTGGGTTGTGTGTCTTTCTTCCACTCCTGTTTGTTCCGAGCCCCTTGATGTCTTTTCCCCTTTTGTCTAAAGATTGTTTGTCTCTCTATTAGAATTATTTTGTTTTCAAGATTCAAGATTTCAAGATTGTTGAAAGGATGTGGTTATTTTATTTTTTTTCAATGCATTTTCTACTCTTTCAAATATTTTAAAGCTTACTGTGGCAGTCATCTTTAGAAACAGCAGAAACCAGCGCCACCAATGTAGACAAAGTTACAAACTTGTTCATTGTTACATAGGATGTATCTGCAAGTACATATATAAAAACAAAATTGACTTATAGTCGTATGAGGCAGTCCAAAGTAAAAAAGTAAAATCCAGGAATGTCCTCTTTGTGGACTGAAATATCCAAAATTTATGAATTTATCAAAAATATCAAATGCATCAACTGTTAACTAATTTTTGCAAACGGGTTTTCATAACTTCAATGGTTATAAGGAATTTCGTCTCTGTAAGAAACAACAAAATTAGAAACTTGTGTACAACTTTGAGAATATTCACGACAGAAATTTCTTCTCACAGACCTTATAGAAGAAGTATATAGAGAGGTCAGTTTAATGGAAGAAATTTCTATTATTCGATACAAAATAAAATCATTGGAGCATTGATAGAAATTTCTTTTATCCGACTTATGCATGAAATATAATACTTAATCATGGCAGCTAGTTCGTTGGAAGAAATTTCTTCTATCAAACGTAATATGAATTACTTCGAGCTGATCGCTCGTTGGAAACAAAATTTTCTATCAGATGTAAACCCAAAATGAAATATTTAATCTAAGCCGTTAGTTCGTTGCAAGAAATTTCTTCTATCAAACCTACATTTAGATCTAAAATGAAACATATGTAGCTGTTAGTTTGTTGGAAGAAATTTCTTTATCAAACCTGACCTAAAATGTAATATTTATGGCAGTTAGTAAGTCGGAAGAAATTTCTTCTATCAAACCTTCATGAAATATTTGAAGCAGTTAGTCCGTTAAAAAGAAATTTCTTCTATCAGACATAGACCTGAAATGAAATATTTTTGGCAGTTAGTAAGTTGTAAGAAATGTCCTCTGTCAGACCTACATGTTGATATAAAATGAAAGTTAGATCATTGGTAGAAATTCTATCAACTATGAAGCAAATAACGTGACTGTGAGTAACACAATGATACTAATCATTAGGAACTGATCAGATGTACCTGTATAGCAATTTATCTTGAAATCACATGAATTTACCTGACATTTTGGCATCAAATATCATAAATAAAGAAGTGTAGCAGAACATAATTAGGTATGGTATTTTTTTGTCCTATTTTGGGGAAAGGTATTTTCGGGTCACACAACTTTACACTTTAACAACAAAAACTGTTTGACAAGCAAATAATTCATTTTAAAAAGCATCCCATCCCACCTTTGCACAGACAGAATAAGAATGATTGGTGCGTTCGAAAGATATTTCCACTTTACATTTTCTAATTTAAAAAACAAAGCAATGTTCAAAAGAAATAAAATTGCATTACCTGTTCTGAGAGACACTCAAAATGTTAAAGCGTTGAAATACAATATTGTTATGAGGAAGTAAAAGTATACATGCACGCATGCTGATTAATCAATTTAAGTAATGACAGCTGTGTAAACAAAATTGAACATTGAAAATAACTACATCATTTGTTACAAAAAACAAATGAGCATGTCTTTCTACACGTTTAAAATCACTGTACATTTACATGTACATAATGTCCGTAATTACAGAGATTGTTCAACAATTTGAATTTTTTTGTTTAAATTTACGGAATTTTCCACCTGCTATACAATGTAGAGTCCCAAAAGTATTAATTCATACAATTCACATCGGTCAGTTTTATTAATGAGGACAATTGCATGTAACGCTTTGTATTATCAGTATTAAGACAGCAACCCCAATTCAATTATATTTGAAATAAAAAAATTACCACTATAATTCCAATATAATTATTTCTTTTTGTAATGATTGTTACATTTATTCATTTTTTTCCAAATACTAAATACTCAACCTAGAGCAATGATAAAAATTTTGAATCATTTTTAAGCATGTATAATTTAATTAGATTTTCATCAATTGTTAAATGGTGGTAAAGATTAAATGACTGTTTGAAAATAGCTCTAGTATATAAAAACATTCCGGAGTTACACTGAAACCTTAACCTTTATAATATCTTATTCAATAATATCCGGATGACTTATGCGATATTTGCCAGTAAAAATGTATATATTTAATTTAATTTACATAAGTAAACAAATTGATCATGTGCATTAACTGTCCTACATGTACATTGTACATGTAGCTAGATGAGATCTGTGTAGATTCTTAAGTAACCCAAACACCATTGCTGCAATTCAATAATATATCAAGAAGTTTTAAAATGTGTTCAAGATGCTATACATGTGTGAAATATAATACTGTAAATTCAGAAATGTTTGCGATGTTTTTATTATTGCGAAAAATGCGAATCGCAATAATAAAAACTCGCATTTTGAAATTTTCTATATGAGTTAAACAGGATTTTTCTCAATATTGCAAAAATTAAAATCGCATTTTAGTCTAAAATGACAAAATCGCAATAATAAATGCACGCAATAATTTCTTAATTTACAGTATACGGGTAAAATTATGATTACCATAGATGGATGTCGGTGAATATCATGTACACCATAGAGCACAACACGCAGTGCCGTACTTATTGGGTAATATTCTTAGTACTATATCTATGTAACGTGACATCTTGCCAGGTTATTAAGATAAAAAAAAAGGAATTAATTTCAGCAAGGATGTTATTACTTTCTTGGTTTACATGTATTATTTTGTGATTAGGTCAGTTTAAGGTGAACCAATAGTGATAGGTCAATGCTATGTGGTATGCAGATGTATTAGCATTGACACATCTCAATTCCTTGGAGATTATTTCGCCGTCCCTCTCAGTCATGTTCTATTGACTTTGAATGTATTGCATAGTTCAAATGTTAAAGTTTGTTATAAAATTAGTATACGATAAGGCATTTCTCCTTTCTATGGAGGTTATTTGGCCCTACAGCTTCATTCATGGTTTATTGACTTTGAATGTTTTGCATAATTTACATGTTTGAATATTGCCATTTCGATTTAAACATTTGTTAAATACTATCAAAATTACATAAAGGCGAGACAGTTCTCGGTTTCAACAGTTTATTTGAATAAACATTCATGTTTGTCTTGCCTGCAAAAAAAGTCACAAAGGCGAGAAAACATTTATCTTGCATGCGGTCGTTCTCGGCTGCGTCAACAATTTAGGTTCAGTCTGTGTTTCAATATTAAAGATAAAGAGAGGTGGTATGATTGCCTATGAGACAACTATCCATCAGGGTGGAAGTGAATTAAAGTATTTTGAAGACATAAATAAATTTGTCAAAACTTTACAGAATGACAATTGAACCGAACCATTTCCTTTAGCGAGAGACTGCATCTCATCAAAAATTTGAATATATTTTTTCCCTCCATTTTTCCAAATTTTATTGATAAATAGATAAATTTGTTTTTTGAACTTAACATATAGCTTTTGTCTAAGTTTTAAGTTTTTAGACGTCAATTACTCTTTGTGAAACTTTATGAAATCTGGTGAAACTTCTGGGAAGGCTTCTTCATAATCGACAAATAACATCTAAAGAAAAATTTTGAATCCCCCCTTTTCCGTTTTTTTTTTGGATAAATTAATGACTACCTTTTTTGGCAGATAATATTTAGATAGACTTGGAGTTTACTTATTTTATCAACTTTTTTTTACACATTAATAACTTTGGAAAACATTCATGGTATTTCATTTTACGTCTCAGTTTGATGGAAGAAATTTCCTACAGCGAAATTACAGATCCATGTATCTGAATTTGGATCTAAATGATGGTTTGATAAAGAAGAAATATCTTCCAACTTACTAACTGTCACATGTCTTTCATTTTATGTCTATGTCTGTTATAGAAAAAATTTCTTCCAACGAACTAACAGCTACATTTATTTTTTCATGTTAGATCTAACTGTAGGTCTGATAGAAGAAATTTCTTCCAACGAACTAACTTCTTCAAATATTGAAGGTTTGATAGAAGACATTCCTTTCCACTTGCTAACTGCTACCAATATTTCATTTTAGGTGAATGTTTGATAGAAGAAATGTCTTCCAACGAACTCACAGCTATATGTATTTCATTTAAGATCTAAATGTAGTTTTGATGGAAGAAATTTCTTCCAACGAACTAACGGCTTCGATTAAATATTTCATTTCAGGTTTAAATCTGATAGAAAAAATTTCTTCCAAGGAGCTAATGCAACTTGAAGTTATGCATTTAACGTTTGATAGAAGAAATTTCTTCCAATAAACCTGGGAACAGTATATCTAACAATATATTATGTTCCTGAATAAACTTACTGCTCCAATGAATTTATTTTATATCAAATAAAAGAAATTTCTTCTATTAAACTGACTTCTCTATATATTTTTAATTACGGTTTGATCGAAGAAATTTCTGACGTGGAATATTCTCATATTTTTACGAAAGTTTTGTATTTTGTTGTTTCATACAGAGAAGAAATTCCTCCTAACCATCGAAGTTATCAAAAACAGTTTAACAAAAATTGGCAAACAGTTGATGTATTTGCACTTTTTTGATAAATTCATGAATTTTGCATATTTGAGTCTGCAAAGAGGACATTCCTGGATTTTCCTCTTTTATTTTGGATTGCCTTGTATAAACTTTTATATATATGCATACATGTACTATTCGATTGTTGGAAATTCCACTTTTCTTGACGACTGTGCTATTCGACTGGACATATTTTGGATAACACCGTGAGTTCCCGGATGTTTTTGAGAAACGATCAAATACGTTTTAGATATAGACAAAATACCTTTTTTGGATCATTCAATTTTAACTAAAAAGTGTAAAAATAAACCTTAGATAGGATATGCAATTTCAAAGACTAATATTGAAGAAAGTATTTTTGGGAATAAAAGTTTACGCGATAAATCGTCCACCTTGGGCAATGACGCATTGTGTTCAATTCGTGAATACGACGGTACATAATGTATCACAATCGTAGATCTCCATATGCATTTCAGACGTGAAATAGAATGTTTTTGCTCATTTTAATTTGAATGTTCTATATCGAGGTTTTATATTATGAAATTAACAAAATAAAGAAACCCGTGAATTAAATTTATTTAAGTACTAAAGAGAATTTACGACTGAAATAAACAGC